CTTTTAAAAAACAAAAACATTCCGTGTGTGTGTGTGCAGAGCAGTTTCTGCTGTCTGAAACACACATACACAGGGATGGAGACACATTGTACCAGAAACATCTTTCCGGCCTAAACGGCCAGGACTCACTATGCAGCCTCATGTAACATGAACTATGTGAGCCAGCAACTCCCACACATGCCCTTTCTCCCCCCTATGCCATGCAGCTTGTAATCTTCTATTCCCCCTTTGCCCACCCTTTGCCATGATGTGATTTTCTATTGGTTTATGTGTAGAATGCTGTGATTAGCCCTGTCAGATGAAGAGGGAAAGTCTTTTTGACAAAAAGAAAATAAAAAAGTAGGAGATGTTGTAATATAGTTCCTTGTGTAGGTGTGTGTCCTCCATGGCTTAGGTCACACTAGGACGCTGAATCACACAGGAGACAACTGGCTCCGAGAACACCATAACATCCTGATAATGCATAACATAACATCCTGAGATGTGCCCTACCATTGACGTCCAGGATATGACCATATATTGACAGAACTTCCCTGAGCAGTAGATTAGAAGTTGTACTGTTACAGGCTGTTTTTAATCACATGCTATTGCTCCTCCTGCCTTTGTTCTATCCCAATAAAAGGGGCTCTCAGGTTCTCATCTGGGTCGCTCCATCCCGAGAAAATTTGTCTCCTGTCTTTTCTCAACATTGGCCTCATGGGCGACCCACGGGAACATCACATTTGGTAGCAGAGGATGCTTACTTCACACCAGATCATCTTGCAAGTGTCACCCCTACGATCTCATTGGATTCCACTGATCCATCATGCAACTTATAATGCATTTCCATGCATATGAGAAATAACATGAGTTCACTGAGATTTAAATCCAAGCAAATAGGTTATAGATCTGTAATCACTATTACTCATCATCATCATCTTAGCTATTGTCTATCCACTGCAAGATGAAGGCCTCTTCCGCATGTTTCCAACCAATACAATCTTGAGCTTTCTTTTGCAAATTGGGCCCGCAATAATTGCTGATGCCATCAATCCATCTTGTTTTAGGTCTCTTTTGTGGACACTTTTTTATCAAGTGGGATCCATTCTATGACTGCCTTGGTCCACCTGCCCTCAGTGCTTTTTTTGCTATGTGATCGGCCCATTTCCATTTCAATTCTTTTACTCTTTTGATGATATTGTATATTTTCGTTTGTTCTCTAATCTATCTGCAGGATGGATGCCAAGCATGCATCTTTCCATGGCTCTTTGCGTCATTTCCAGCTTTTGTATCAATTGTGAGGTTGGTGTCCATATTTCACTAGCATATGTTAGAATAGGCAGCAGAATTACTACCGTTAACTACCACTACTACGATAAATAATAACAACTTTGCAAAACTGCGAAGAATGCTGGCATTGTCCTTACAGTGCAATTTACAGATTCAGTCTGAACTTTAAATTGATGCGCCTCTACCTTTATCTCATATATCATCTTAAGGCATAGCATCAGAGCAGTGTTTATCAAGCCCAACAACTTGTGTGGACTTCAGTTGCAGAACTGTCCAGTTAGCATATGAATTCATGAACAGCATTCCCCAGTCCATGCATCTTAAAGTTGCTAAAATTGGGAAACACTCAACCTTGGAAGCACCAGAGACTTCCAAGGTAAATCGCTTCTGTAATGTAGGTATATCATAGACTGTGACAAAATCAAATGCCAGCGTCTTATAAAACACATATTTATGACTGTGCTGAGCTGTTAAATGCTTTCAATTGAAAATTTAGGAAAGTTTGGAGTAGTCAGTGATAATGCTACCATAAAATTGGAAGGGACCCTTTAAGCCATCGATTTCAGGTTCTGTTCCATGGAGAAATCCAATTTGGAGATCCCCAGCAGATGGCTGCATTAACCCACCTGAACATCTCCAAGAAGAGTTCACCACTTCCCTCGGGGGGATTTGGTTCTGCTGTGCAATTTACTCCTACAGTGTTGGGGTTTTTCCTAATTTCCAAGCTACTGTCCTCCAGATGCGTTTAGCCATGCAAAAGTCCCAGACCCACTGAATTCCGAGTGCTGTGATCCAGAACAGCTGATTGCTATCCTGGAGAAAGTATTGTTAGAAAAGCCTTTCAGCTTTAAAAAAAATGCCTTTGAAAATTAAAACCCTGAATTACTTGGCCAATTAAAAAGAAAAAAGAAAACATGATACAGACACACCGCGTGCCCCACCTACCAAGAGAGGTGCATTGCCGAAATAGCACTGATCTGGAGACACAGAAACGGAAGGCCTTCGACAATGATCTTCCCAGGTGATCGCTCCCGTTCTGCAACGCGATGGGTTTTCCCCCATCCAGCCACACCCGCCCCCTCCGACTTGATCGGCGGCTCCGACTCTTCCTACCTGGATGCTTAAACCTGCCGCGAGTCAAACCCCGCCAAGAGAAGGAACTGAGCTAGCGGGTCCCTCTCGCCTCCACTCTGGCCAATGGGCGACGAGAACGGGAACGCAGGTAAGAGAAACCATCAATCCCCGACAATTAAAGATGGATCGCTGTCTCGAATGGGATTCCTATTTAACTTCCGGTTCCGTTATAGCCCGTTGTGGCGTCTTCCATGTGCGGGGCAGGAGTGCTGGAAAGACAGACCTCAAAGAAAGTTGGGGGAGGGAGGCATTAAATCCGAGCGCTATTCCCATAGGGAAAAAAAAGAAAGCATATTCATCCAGGGAGAAATACGGAGGTGAGGAAAAGACAAGATTTATTTCCTAGAGAAAGCGAGTCTTTAATATCGCTAAGGAGCTTCAACGTCGCTTATTTTTGCTTCAGAGAGCCCGCATATGGAGACGCCAAATAGCAACGGAAGTGGTAAACGTCATCTTTTTAGTCTATCTCTTTAAAGTAATGAAAGCCTCTCCTCCGTGTTGTTAAAGACGACATCTTGGAACCGGGCATTACTTAGGGCGTTTGCGTTAAGTGCGTTTTACGAAGCTCCCGGGACACGAAGCGCAGCCTCTGCCTCTTCTCCTTTCTAGTTTTGTGTAACGGACTGAGAAGGGTGGAGATGTGGCGCTAGGTTTACTGCGTTTGAATAGAGGAATCCCTTCTGTCACTTCCAGCTGGTGGGTGCTTTGAGACGCCCTACTAGCGAAGGGCTGGTCTGGTTCAGTGTGCGGTGTGAAAGCAGAGGACTAGCTTAGTTGGGTTAATCGTGGGCAGGCGTAGCAGGAGAGCACAGCTTCAAATTCAGCATATATGGTTTTGAATTTGCTCTGCTAAAATCGTTGCTGTAGCTTTTTCATGCAGGAGGAAGGCCTGAAGCAGCCTGCCTCAAACTGGATAACTTTAAAATGGGTGGATTTTTCATTTCCCAGAAACAACCCCCCCCCCCTCACCGGATGGTTGGGGAATTTTCTTGGAGTTGAAGTCCACCCGAGTCAAAGTTGCTAAGTTTGAGCAACACTGGCCTAAAGAATACCATCGAAGGCAGCAGGTGAAAGTTTCCTGGAGAGAGAGTTGTGAAGGAGAGTCGCCCTGGAAGTCCTCTGTTGTGTTGGAGGAAAATAGAGAAAAGCTCACCTGTTTTTGACATGAAAGGGGTACCAGCAGGAACTTGGCTTCTAAAGCAGATTAGATAATTTAAACAGAGTTTGGAAGTTGAGGCTGAAAAGCAACTGAATTCTTTCTGTATATAAAGACAGAATAATTTTGGGGAGAGATCTATGTGTTCATGATTAGCTAGAACTTTCAAATTATTGTCCAGAGCTGCTTGGCACAAAAATTAGCTAAGTTTGCATTTATAAAACTGCACAATGCCTGCTGAAGTGGAATGGTGCTAAAGATCTTTTATTATAATGATAGTAATTCTAAAATTCAGATTTGGATTGTTATGTTATGACCAACTGAAGGATTACAAGCAAACAAGCTTCCAAATTCATTGCCAGTCTCCCTCTGGCAATGTGAAAATCTCTGCTTACTTTGAACTTTAGCAGCAAATGTGTTTTCTATTTATGTACGCCTCTGGGCATCTATTCTTAATCTTGGCTGCTTTCTGGTTGATGTAGGATTGTGTTTCTACAAAGTTTTATTTAAACATCTTTTGCTTCCTTTTTTTTTAACCCCACTGTGACTGGCTAGGAAGGATTGGAAACATTTATGTGCAATGAGCTATTTGCTGCCTTTTTCTGTTTTGCTCATGGGACTGCTACCAACGAGAGCCATGGCTTGGACCTCAACTGGGAAGACACATGCTGAACTGATCAACAATCTTTATAGTGAGTTCAAACAGCAGTTAAGACAGACTTCTAAAACATTGCTGAAGTACCGGGACATTTTTTATAATTAACAATTCTAGTGGCATAGTAAATTTGACAATTAAGAATCTCTTTTAACAATTATATCAAATGCAACAGCACAGCATTGAAATCTTAAATAAACTAAAGCAGGGGTATCAAACTTAAGACCTGCAGGCCGCATTCAGCCCGCAGGGTGCTTAGATCTAGCCCACGGGACCATCCTAGAAATAGCGAAGGACCAGCCCACGACCAGTCCAGCCTCTGCCAGAGAAAATGGAGCTTGGGAGGGCCACACAGCCCAGACGCCCTGACACGAGTGACATCAAGCTGGCCATTCACCCTTACCCCCCTCCCCCAAGGTCAAACACAATCCTGATGCAGCCCTCAGTGAAATCGAGTTTGACATCCCTGGACTAGAGAGAGTTAAGTGGTGGACAATCCATCCCTTCTATTCTAAGGTGTATGATTCTTTCCCATCAAGAAAGTTCCAACTATATTATGCAAAAAGGCTTCCTATTTTGCTTTACATTGGCCAGATAGATAGTGATGGGATGCCTTTCTATGTTTCCAAATAATTAATTTTTAAGATAATATGTAAGATAATAATATGGTACTGATAACTTTATTATCCATTGACATTTAATTAGGGTTAAATGATCCCAGTTGAAAGTTACTATGTTTGTAATGAATTCCAGTTATTTAAGGACTACACAAAAAATATTTTTATGCAAATTCTAATATGAAATACAGAAAAAAAATCTGAGGCTGAATTGTAATATTAGTAGGGTACTGGATTTCAGATATAGATCACATTCCTTGGTATATAGTTGATGAATGTTAAGAAACTAAGAAATTAAGAAAATAATTTATGTTCTTACTTTGACTTATAACTAAGATAATTCAGTTTTCTTAGCTTTTTATAAAATCTAACACAAGCTATACCAAGGAATATGATCTATATCTGATCTGTAGCTGCCCTGAGCTGGTCTCCATTTTGGGACAGACATGAGTTTTGTACTGTATAATAACTTGTATTCATTTCTCTATTCCTGTAGAAAATGGTGTGATTAAATCCCAATGTGTTCATGCTGCGATGCTGGCTACCGATAGAGCCCACTATGCCAATAATTTTCCATATATGGATTCTCCTCAGTCAATTGGTAAGATTGCAGACTATTGTCAGTTAAGAAAGAAATATTTTATTTACAGTATTAGAGACCACATTATGTGTTGTTTTCATGCTTGGAACCTCATGTCTGTCCCAGACCACTGGAAAGCATGGTTTCATCCAAACTATTCTGCAGGTAATAAAGGTAATATGAAGACTTTTTAAATTAAGTATATTTATTTTGTTTTATTATAAAAGATAAAATACAAAGCAAAAACAGAAAAACAAACAAAACAAAAACATATGTCCAGCACTAACAACAAAAAAGAAAAAAATGGTGTACAAAAAAAGAGAAAAAGATCATCCAAATACCAAATAAATATTTAACACATAGAATCCACCTAGTTGAAAAAAAAGGAAAAACAGTAAATTCTTCTCCCCTTTTACAAATATATGTGTATAAAAGAAAAAAGAAGATCAGTCAACAGATTAAGCTAAACATTACACTAATCTTCAAATCATTCTATTAACTTATTGTTTTTAGTGTGCAGAAAGTCCATAAATAGTTTACAGTCTCTTTATAGTTTATTATTATAGTCGTGGTGGCACAGTGGTTAGAATGCTGTATTGTAGGCTTACTGCCGATTGCCAGGGGTTCAATTCTCACCGGCTCAGCCTTCCATCCTTCTGAGGTTGGTAAAATGAGGACCCAGATTGTTAGGGACAATAGACTGACTCTGTAAACTGCTTAGAGAGGGATGTAGACACTGTGAAGTGCTATAGAAGTCTAAGTGCTATTGCTATCTCTGATCAAAGCAGTTGATTTCACCATCTCTGCTAATTCAGTCAATTTTAAATCCATTCTTCAACAGTTGGCATCCCTTTTTCATCCAGTGCTTGGCAAGTACAATATTTGCAGCCGTCGTCATGTGAAGGAATAGCACCCCAAATAGTTTTTTAATTGGCTTGTCTATAATACCTAAAAGAAAAGTTTCAGGTTTCATTAATATTTGTATCTTAAATATTTTCTACATTGTAATTGTTATGCTTGTCCAGTATGTTTTCACATATTTGCAAGACCACCACATATGATAAAATGAACCTGGATTTTGACTACATTTCCAGCACTTATTAGAAGTCCCTTTATACATTTTTGCTAGTCTATCTGGGGTTAAATATCAACAATACATCATTTTATAAAAAATGTCTTTCAAGCTATAATTTATTGTAAATTTTAGTCCATACATTCTCCCATTTATCTAGTGTTATACATAATTTTTTGCCCATTTTACCATATAATCTTCAACATATTTATCTTCTAGACTCATCTTAAGTAACATTTTATAAACTTTAGCAATCAAGTGATCACTTCCAGAACTTCAATTAATATGAAGACTTTAAACAAGAATCTTAATTCTTGAGTGTCCATAGTTCCTGAATCAACTTTGGGCAGCTCCAGAGTTGTTTCTGAAAAATCTAAAGATCAGTTGCATTATTATATGCCAGTTAGAGATGAAAATCGTACAATGGTATTGTGTACCTTAGATTGGGCTTCAAAGGGTTTTTAAAAAGTCCCCAAATATGATTCAGTGAAAAGCCTTAGAAAACAAAACAAAAAAATTGTGTCCTTTGCAACCCTTACCTTCTTAACAACTATTATACCTGCATTAAAAGATTGCTCACCATCTTACACTTTTAATTCCCTGCAAGGATTGAAAAAATGAAGTGTTTATAATGTTGCTTGAATGATGGTTCTTAGCATGGAGAAAAACCTACCTTATTGATGGATTTATTTCAGGCTACAAGGCTACTATCAGTGCACCTCACATGGTAAGACCCATTTTTATATTAAAGAGTATATGAAGACATTCTTGCATTGAAATATATTTACTCAATAATGCAGAGAGACCACCAATGTAAAGCTTTATAGCTTTGAATTATCATGCAGCTTACTCTGGCATTGCCAAGAATTTTGATCATGTGATCATGGCGAATGCTGCAATGGTCGTAACTAAAAAACAATCATAAGTCATTTTTTTCCAATGCCGTTGTAACTTTGAATGGTCACTAAATGAACTGTGGGTACCTGTATACCCATACTGCAGAAATCTATCTGCCAACACTAAGTTGGTAAGAACTAACTTGTTTCTTTTTTTGCCTGAAAGAAAAATGGCATTAGAATAAAGTAAAAAAGAATTGTTATTTTCACCTTGGTGCCATCCAAATGTATTGGACTGCAACCTTTTCCTTTCTCAGCCCAGCATGTTGGTGGTTTTATGTAATGGAAATTGTCATTCAATAGATCTCATTTAAGAGAACAAGTGGGGGAAGACTGAATTAAAAACTGAAAATAAGTTAATGTAGAAAATGTGTAATGTTATGCATAATGCTTGTTTCTACAGCATGCTCATGCTCTTGAGTTACTGAAGGATCAACTAGTGGAAGGAGCAAAGGCATTAGATGTAGGATCAGGAAGTGGCTATCTCACTGCTTGTTTTGCTCGAATGGTAAGCAAAAAGCATTTTTACCACCAGAAAAAATCTCTCTTGCTACAGATGAGTGTTTTTTCTAGTTAGTATTCTGTCAACTTGATATATCTGATGCAATTGCTGTCTAGCTATTACAAAACTTAAACTCTGAAAAACTAAATGGAAAACACAAAAAATTGATTTGCATCTCTCTGTGGGTGGACAAAACCTCATATAGAACATTCTTTAATTATTCCACTAGTTTCAGGCAATATAATTTTTAGCACTGCAAAGAGATAAACCAAAAGTGAGTTCCACTGAATATGGTGGAATTTAGCTTTGAGGTCAGATTTATACAAATTACATATTTCCCCCCTCACATTGGAACTGGAAACGAGATGCAATTCTGAGACAGTTGCAAATAAATTGCTTGTGAGTGTAACTTCCAATTACGTAATCAATGTTAAAAAATTCTAAAGTTCTATTTAGAATTCATGGATCTTTACTAAATTCCTAATGAATTATTTAATGAATTCTATTTTCTCTATAATAATGAATTTGAAGTAGTGGTTTAGTGGTTTAGTGGTTTTTTCGACTTGTATGCTGCCCTATTCCCAAAGGGACTCAGGGCGGCTGACAAACTAGTATTAGAGTTTGAAGTATTCATGACTTCTTTTATAGGTGGGCCCCACAGGCAAGGCAATAGGTATTGAGCACATAGAAGAATTGGTTCACGAATCCCTTAGGAATGTCAGAAAAGATGATCCAAACTTACTTAGTTCTGGACAAGTAAAACTTTTAGGTGAGTTATCTGTTTTGTTGCTGTGGTATCAATTCTGGTTTTATGTGCTTGCTGTTTTCAACAGTAGAGAAAGCATTGTAGAAGGATAATTCTTAAAATATATTTTTTCAAAGCTACAGGGGTGAGTTGTCTCTAAAGAATTATCTAGATATAATAATTCTTTTTATGGTAAATAGGATAATCTGGATGTTTTGATACTCACTGCTTCCCATATGACTTTTTTAAATTTTACCCAGAAGTTCTTAATTGGATTTTTCTTAAAGGTCCTACTAACTGGAAAATAAGAGACTAAATTATAATACTGAAATATTGAATGGAATAACACTGAATGGAACCTTTTCTCTAGTGATATCCATAGTGTGATGTTTCTACTTCAAAATAGATCCCCTTTTTTCCAGGAAAACTTTGTGTTTATGAGGCCTGATGATTAATTAGGTTGCATATATCTTGTTCTTTAACTGTCATTTTGCTCTGTTGTTCTTGTGTTTTTGTATTACATTTAGAGTTTCTATAATTTAAACTAGACACTACTTTCAGTCACCTGTGGGTTTCATACAAAATGGATTGTGAATGAGAAAAAATCATTTTTCTTCCGCTTATAAAATCCTCACTGTCCACATTCTCTCTTCCCAGTTGGGGATGGTAGGAAGGGATATCCTGAAGAAGCCCCATATGATGCCATCCATGTTGGAGCAGCTGCACCCACTGTGCCAATAGAGGTAGGATACAGAAGGACCCATCTCAGCTCCGTTCAGTAAACAATAATCTTGTATTCTGTCTTCCAAGTTCCCAAAAATGCTGTAGAACTGTAACCCATGTTGGAAGGTTAGCCCCGAATAATATAAACCAGAAGAATGCTTCAAATATAGAGGCTTTTGATATTTCTTTCCTTACATTATGAGATTTAAACTTTCATGTTTTACCAAAACAAACTATTTTGCTAGATATCTGCCATAGAACCTTTCAGGAATTAAATATGTAGAACAAGTTGAGTTAAAAATAAATGGCAAGGTCCCTGAGTCTCAAGAAATACTTTATTTTCACTATATCTCCTAGGATGCTCAATGTTTAGCTTAATTTTTTTTCTTTAATTTGCCTTACCATGTTTACTGATATTTTTGTGTATTACCAGTTGCTGAATGAACTAAAACCTGGAGGACGACTGATTTTGCCAGTAGGGCCAGAAAATGGAAACCAGGTTATGATGCAATTTGACAAAACGATGGATGGCCAGATTGTGGAAAAACATCTGATGGGTGTGATATATGTTCCTCTGACAGACAAAGAAAAACAGTGGCCTCGGTAAAATATTAAAACTTTTTTTCTTTTGTAAAGTTACCCAGAATAGTGAATTGGTGTCCTAATTGGCTTTTGCTAAGCAAAGTATAGATACTAATACAAGAATGGAATAGCTAACGAAACCGCTATAGAAATAGAATTATCTTCCCTTAAGCAGACAAGCAATGAAATCTTAGAAAACAAAATCTCAAACAGTTTGAGCTCATTATAATTTTTGCCAAAACCACTGTTCAAAATGATGATGATTTCAGAATCTCTTTGCATCTTTCTGACATGTTACAGTTCTGATTTTCCAAGATTTAATGCTATGAATAGATACAAACTGCAAGTTAAGTTCTACCATATTTTAGCTTCATGGAACTTGCTTTCCCAAAAATATGCATGTGACTGGACAGGAGGTGTATTTATTAAGTGTGAATTTATATATACTTCAGTTTAATATTGATGTTCTAAGGGGTTTTATTATGAATATTGTAACTCCAAAATTTAACAAATATTCCTATACACTTCTTTGAATTAAAATTAACAATGGTAAAATCAGTTTAGTAGTTGGGGTGGGGGTGGGGAGACTGAGAGTTCCTGCTTTGCCCCTCCCTCCATTCCTCATTTATGTTCTTATCACGATTATTTGTTCAATCCAAAACTGGAAAGCATGATTTAGTATTAATTTACTATTCAAAATATTCAGTATTTATATAACACTAAACAGCCACCTTTGGTAGTATTTTTTTCACTCACAGCCAAATATTAGCATTGGGTTTTAGGAAGAAAGAATTATTGTGTGATGTAATAAAAGTCAATTTTTTTTTCCTCTAGGGGTGAACTTTAAAAGATTTAAATAATTTATAAAGGACCTTTTGAAAATCTATGAACTATGTTTCGAAAAAATGATATTTGCAGTACATTATATTTGAATGCTCATTTCTCCTCTTTGAAAGTAACATTTGACCTGTAATTTTAAGAACTTGGATGGGATTTGGAAACAAAGCAATGGAAATTCGTTGATTCAGGGATAACAACATATTTCACAATTAACAATAATTTGTGTGTACCATTGTAAAATAAACAATGGATAAAAAACTGCATTTTCTCTGGCTTTTATAAATGTGATAAATTGTTTATTTGTGATTTAATATTTGGAAGGTATTTTTCACATATTCTGTTAATGCAGAAAACAGTAGCAATCTTACCAGTGAAGGGTTCCTACTGGTTCAGCCAAACGGGTAGTAGTTTGACGGCCTGGGTTGCTGGAACTGGCAGCGACCCAGGCCTGCCATGCCTCTGAACTGGTCTCCAAGTGGCGCCATAGCCACTGCCGTTTTGTTTTTTGCTTCTGTGCACACGCAATTTTTATTTCATTTTTATTTTTAACATCACGTGCGCATGTTGTGGATGAGGCCCGGAAGAGAAGATACCTAGTGGGCGTGTCCATGCCAGGAAATGAACTTCCAGTTTCCAACACATGCATGCGCACCAGAAAGCTTGTCATCCAGTTACTGGTGCACATGATCAGCTGACCGGTACGCATGTGCAGCTGACTGGTGTGCATGTGCAGCTCTTCCGGTTTCTGACACTGCTGCACGTGCTAAAAACAGCTGATCATTGTGCTCATGCACGCCAGAAACCCAAAAAAGGATCAAGCGATGCTGCGCATAACAGCAGACATGGCTCTGCGTGTCACTTTGGACATTTGTGCCATAGGCTTGCCATCATGGGGATAGACTATAGTCATGATGTAATCTTAGAGAACTTAAAATATAACACTGAAGGTCAGAAACCAGTTTATATTTTTTATTTTTCTACTTTTTTTAACCCACTTATTTTTTCCTTTATGCACTTTTTTGCTTTTAGTGTCATTTTTTCTTCTTTTTCTCTTTGGGTTTGCATTAGTTTTTATTATTGTTGTCAATAAAAATTATATTAAAAAGAGAACATGAGAAAAGCTGGAACTGTATGTCATACTCATCAACAGCTTGGGCAGATGATTCTGATCTTTGCTACCCGTGATAGCGCCAGACAAGTGAGGTTTATATAACACTTTAATAAATTAAAATCTGTACTAGATTACCAACTTTAATTGTATCTGCAATATGCTGATGCAATAGTAAGAGCAGCAAAAGTCAGTTTTGGCTCATTTGGGCCACTGTGCTGCACATGCAAATAAAGCCCACTTTTAATTAAGATTAACCTATTCAAGGGGACACAGTGGCTCAGTGGCTAAGATGCTGAACTTTGTTGATCAGAAAGGTCGGCAGTTCAGCGGTTCGAATCCCTAATACCACATAACAGAGTGAGCTCCCCTTACTTGTCCCAGCTTCTGCCAACCTAGCAGTTCAAAAGCATGCAAAAATGCAAGTGGGAAGGTAACAGTGTGCGGTGCACCTTCATGCCGGCCACATGACCACCGAGATGTCTTTGGACAGCGCTGGCTCTTTGGCTTTGAAACGGGAGATGAGCACTGCTCCCTAGTCGGGAATGACTAGCACATATGTGCAAGGGGAACCTTTACCTTTACCCCATTCAGATTACGATGGCTGGAGTGTACTATTAACAGACTGGTTAATCTCTTCAATGCAGTTATTGGAAACATGATCTGAGCTTATAGAAATTGCTATTATTATGGAAAAGCAAAAAGTTGTGGTTTGATGCTGATGTCTTATTTTCCTGCAACAGAGGAAGTTAACGTTTTTTTTCTTTTTCCCAGCCTTCCCTCACGTCTCTTCCTCTCCCCCTGCTTTCCTAGTTACTTTTGTATTTTGAATCTTATAATCTAATAAAATGTTTAAATGTTGATCTGAGCGTTGCTGTGCTTGGTTCCTCCAGAGTCCACCAAACAAAACGCGCAGCCCTCCTAAATCACTACCGCGTTTCGTCGCTTGCTTTATCCGTCAGAGGCATAGATTAATGTGATTGGGTAAAGATGACTGAGGTCGCGTGGGGGGTGGGGCTCCACAACGCCACGTGGTCGCCTTCTCCGCCTCCACTCCTCAGCATGCGAGCCGAGCCGTTTTGGAGATCGTTGCTCCGTTCTTCCTTAGCCCGGCCGGACGCAAAGCGCGCCTTCTTGGCTTCTCTAGCCGCCCTGGTGCCCGGGAGGAGCATGGAAGAGAAGCCAGTCCCCGAGCTTAAAGAGCAGGGAGGCTCTGCTCCGGTGGCGAAGAAGAGGCGGCTGTCCAAGGGGCAGAAGATGAAGCGGCCAGGGCCGCTGGAAGAAGGAGAGAAACGCTACGTGCCGCCTCCGAAGAAGCGGAATACGGGCGTCAGTTTCGGAGAGGCCCATTTCGCCGAAACCAGCTACTACTTCGAGGGCGGACTTCGCAAGGTTCGCCCGTACTACTTCGAGTACAATACTTACTGCAAGGGGCGCTGGGTGGGGAAGAAGCTCCTGGACGTCTTCCACTCGGAGTTCCGCGGCCGCCCCATCGAGTACTACCTGGCCGCAGCCAAAGCCGGACGCCTGCTTCTCAACAAGCACCCCTTGAAAGACCTCAGCGTCGTACTCAAGGTGAGGAGGCCGGGCGTCAGGCCAAAGGCCGAGAGCTCGTGCCTGGGACGCAGCCCACGCGGCCAGCGTCCCGTGGGAGAATGCGGTCACGCAGAGAGAAAAAGCCAAGTCAGGCAGTAAAGGTATAGCTGTAGCCAGCTTTCTGATCTTAATGCTCTCTCCTCCTTCCCTTCCCCCTTTTCAATATGAACATGCTTTTTGCAAGTATCGTAAATCTGTTTGTTTTTTTAGATAGTATAGTCTTTATTGTCATTGTACATCATGTATACAACGAAATTGGTTACAATTCAAATTGGAAACAAACAACCCTATACGTTTTTTATAACTCTGAATATTTTATTTCATTTTCATTTTCATTTTC